ATTATTTATGAGACATAAAATATTGCTGGAGGTAGTAAAATTTATTAACAGCCGTGTGTTGCATGAGACTTAAGCTAGTTAAATCAAATAAACCTAAATAGTCACCAGAAAAATGGCAACGGATCAAATTCGGGTTGGATGGCGCTAAAACCGAATCCGATCTGTTTTATAATCGAACCTTGGACTCGAATACGAATCCGAATCTGAATCCAATTGATCTGAGTCCGTGTCCAACTCATATTTTTAGCATTCGAATCTGGTCCGTTTATTTGGACATCTGATTGATCCGAGTACCTTTTTTTTTAATATTGTATAATATACTTATAATTGGTTGTATTATCTCTAATAAAAAATTTCATTTTTCACATTAGATTCGGACTTGGTCGGACTTTGCGAAAGGCCCAAGTCCGATCCGCCTTCTATTTGGATTTGGATCTAATTTATCGGATTCAAATTCGGACTATTTTAAACGAATTCGAATTGAGTCAGATTCAAATTGAACTCGGATTGAATTTTCATTCCTAGATCAACATAAAATATAAATGCAGGCTTCCAATTGGCAACTACAACTGTGGCAGTGTCACATAGAAGGGGCAACACCATAACGCAACAACACAATGGCATAGACGACCACATCATTGTGAACCAATTCAAGTTTCATGAACGGAATCGTGATATTTCTTAAACTTTTGGGTCTAACTTCCCCCATTTTATCTACCTTTTGTACTATAAAGTCCATCCATTTAAACAATTTTGAAGTCGAGGTATTAGTTAACGAATAAAGTGAGGAGAACATGACCCTTATATTATCTATAAGAACCATAAATAAGGATTATGGATTTATTCTTTTTATCTAGAATAACTCTTGCAGATTACCTTAGATAGGGCAGTTAAAGCGCGCGATGCGCGCTATAATTAGCCATGTTCGAGAAACTCATGGTATAAATGTCAGACATTTATAGTTAGCATTCGATACCCGCACATGGCTAACTATAAAGTATGAGATAACTTCTGAAGAGTAGTGTACCCCAATTCGAATGTTTTTAGGGGTATAAATGTCCGTACACTACTCTTAAGAGTTTAAAAACAAAGGCATTTAATATTAATGAGGGCAAATAAGTAAATAAACATTTTGAAGGATATAATTGTTCAAACACTATTCATAAAAGTTATCTCATATTTTTTATAAGGTAGGGATTTTATGCAAGTATGAAGTAAAACTTATCTCTTAAAATGACACATCAGGAATTCAGAACGTACTTCTGTGGTAAATTTAACTTTAAAATAATCCTCTTTTGAACTAATTGACCCTCTTTCTATCTAAACTTATATTCATGATCACAATTACTAGCCTAAACTAAACTTTATTTCTAAAAACTAAATTATGGAAGTCTGAACTAACTAATTACAGAACATCTCAAACATCATATTAACTCTATTTCACATGTTCATAATTCAACTGAATTATGGAAGTTTGAATATTCCTCAAAATTTGTCCCCCACGTCTTTATTGAAGTTTATGATTTGCTATGAAGATATTATGCTTCTTGTTAGTGGTTGACTTGCAACTATAACATTATTTATGTAGAATTGTAGAAAATGTAAATATGACAAGAAAAATGATGGGCAAAACAATACAAAAGACTGTCAATATCTCCAGATCCGTTGCCATACTCGCAGATGTGATGCCAGTATTCTGGATACATCATGTCGGTCTACCTTCTCAATATTTTCCCTAAGAAATCCCTTAGCTTGTGTTTTGTAACAATTTTGCCAAAAAAACCTGAACCAAAACGACGAGAAGCCTAGGTTACTACACATGCTCATTGCGCAGGTTTTACTGGACCACTAGGGACGGTTCACTACTAGGTCACTGATAAGAAACAGGACCTGAGCAAGGGAGCAGGTGAGCTAGAGAAGTATCGTTGGCCCCAGCTTGTCCAAGCCACACTAAACTTCATTTGTGTATTTCGGTGGAAGAGCCCTTGGGCTAGCTAGAACAAAGTCTGTGATTTCATATACCCACACATTGCTTGAACTGACTTGTTTGGTGGTTTGGCTCGGGCCCGGGAGGTCCACGAGCTATATTTAGGTTGGTTTGAACACTAGATTAGACCTATAGGGTCGGGTCAACCCAGCTCTTTGTCATTTCTAATTTTAACAATGTCCTAAAATTCTCGATGATAAATGGCCAACTTCACTTGAACAAGCCACTATTGGTTCTACTGCTACAGCCTCTACCTCACCAGAAAAGTTAATTTCAGACAATGGGACTAATATAGTATGTTGGACCAAAGAGGAGGGACGTTTGAGTATGTCATTGCCAAATTTGTTGCCCGCCAAATGTAACCTGCCCCAACTAAAGAGGACAGACTGTGAGGCCCCGGTATCAATTAGGCAATAATCATAAACCAAATATACTTTTTGGAAAGTGATCAAAGATTGAGGGAGCCTTGTTCAGATTCCTCAGTTCCAAACCCCGTCTTCTGACCTTACAATCCAAATGTACCGTGTCTGAATCTAGCAATCTGCATTTCTCGACAATCATTGACAAGGAAGTGTTCGGTTGGACCTAAGCTAGATATCAGACCTAGATTTTCTTTCCAAATTCAAAAATAATCCAAAAGTACCAGGAATTGTCTGCACATGCCTTACCACTTGAGCTCCTCATGATTCCAGAACATTATTCATAACTCATTAATGTACAGTTGAATCTGATTAAATTACAAATCTTGAACTTAATTGACTTAAATCAAGGTGGATATCAACTAGCTTAGCATATTTTGGGCAGGTTTGGGAAGATTTTACTTTCTCAAACATTCAGCCTCTTGGAATTTTTTTTTACTACTATTTTTCTTTTTGGGCGTGCCAAGTAACCAACTACAGCCTACATCAACAATTGGCCTCCTTGCCTTGTCTCACATTAAACCAGCCCAATACACACATGATCAACTCTAGTTTAGCTTTAGCTGTATCTAAGACCTCGCTATAAAACCCGACAGCAAAATTAAAATCTTCAAGGCTCCATAGAAACCAAAAATAAAGATTCAAATCCAACTATAGCTAAAATAAACAAGATGAAAATGAAGTTATTTAAAAATAGCAAGTTGTATGACAGCAAATGCTCTCTCATATTAGAACAATTTGATACCCTTATCTAACTTCAATCAATGTTAAGAGAAAAAACATCATGTACTATCCAACTCACCAGCAATCAAACTACTAAACCCCACATGTAATATTATTATTTCGCAGAGGGGCCCTATCAATAACCCTACAAAAGATATTAAATCACTACTTTCTTCAATAATATCCCTGGAATTATACATATGTAATTTTCCCTCTTGAAAATGAAAACATATAAACCTCCCATCATTTTTGTACTGATGAATTTGTAACATTTCTGAAAGGTTCTTCTCAACTGTCCACCTCACTAACTCAAATAATTTGAAGGTATCTTCTTATACAGTATTTAAATTTTAAAATATGAAAAAACTAATAATATAAAAGATATGATATAAATAAATTAAGATGAATAATTGCTCAGAAAAAATTTATAGTCTGTTCTGCCTCCTGAGTTGTAGCCATCAACCAACCATAAATAAGTACCAACAACCATCTAGTATGTGTCCCCATCCCAATAAGAGATTTATTGTATTTTTATTTTATTTTTTGAATTTTAGTTTTTTTGAAAGAAGGGAGAAAAAAAAAAGACAATTAAAATAAATGAAAGAAAGAAAAGGATGCTAAAAAGTTTCCAGCTAGACATTAAAAAAAAAAATTACTAGACATTGACATCACAGGGTAGGGGGACCATGAGAAGCATCATGCAATATTGGTACCCCATCTAGTTTGTTCTTTCATAATAGTCTTATAGAGCAATGTGTAATTGTGTTCATCTCGTTACATTTCATCTTTCATGTTTTCTTGTTTCCGTAGGTGTGTTCAGACTCTTCCATGCCATCAAATTATATAGTCAATATTTGTACAATCTTAGACTAGATTCTTCCTCCAACCCACCTGACCCAACAAACTATTGCTTCAAGGAATAGGGACACAAATCCAACTTTCTAATTTCAAAAGGTTATCAAACTTGAGGAAACAATGATTAGGTTGATGAATTTTCCATCAAACGGCTAGGGTTTGAAATGGGTTCTTGAGAAGCTATATTACTCCGACTCTTCATCTTACCATTAGTGAGCTCACCATTAGTACCCAAAAACATATTTTGCCAAAATTAACCATATTTTATACTTGGATACATACCCATGTTTGATATGAGTACCCGAGTATAGTTGAGAAGCATTTGAATGAACTCAATGCAGCATTTACAAATTTGTTTCTAGTACCCCACTTCCACTTGCACTTGCCTTTGCTTAGATGGAAATATGAAATACATGGCCCTATCTCATTTATGAGTTGTTTATATACTAAAGTGGAGATAAAACAAGGTGGTAAATGTAACTACAAAATCAGAATTTTGTACAGAATGAAGAAACTATCTAAATATATCCTAGCAGTGAAAACTGAAAAGAGGTGGTGGAATCACAAAAAGATGGAGTAACTAGCTGCATATTTCTACCATTCTTGAATGGGACTTACAATGCATTAGCTGGGAAAAATACAGGCAAAGACAGATGTAAAAGATCAACTACTCTTTCGATTCTTTTTATGTTTGTTATGGGGAAGCTGGTTGAAGTATGACAAGTCCTTCTATGAGGGCAGTAAAGCAACAAAGATAATGGCAAAGTAAATCTCTTTCAATCACATGAAAGATTGACTCCTTGAAAATGTAGAGCATACTCAAGGCCCCAACCTTTGTATGTGCTTCTTTCAATGGAAATTGAGAAAGCAACCTCTCAGATTTAGTACGTAACGAGATAAAAGACAGGATGTTCATTTGATATTGCACATTTTAAGACAGCATCTATTGTACTAGTAATAATTTTGAACAGGAATGCATGAAAAGCAATAGAAATTAAAAGATGGAAAGTCATAAAGCAGCACATAAAAGGAAGGCATCATATAGTAGCATAAAGCAAAATACTAGAAAATACAGCAGAGTTTCAGCAAAGTTGAGCTCAACAAGCTCACCTAAACATAATTGAGAGCTTGAACATAAAAGCAACAATATCATAGAAACTAACTGATAAGAAATTTAACTTTACGAAAAAGAAAAAACCTGAATTATTTCTCAGATTTAATCTTCCCGAATATTTAAAGCCATTGATTCAAAGTAACTGAAAACTCCCCCATTGTTTCTTCTGAATTCTTGTCTTCATCATAGTCTCCCAGTCGGTTTGTGAAACATATGTAATCATACAATTCCTATCAGAACAAAACAGATTGAAAAAATTAAAACTAATAACCCATAATTTAATCAGAAATGCAGAAAGCTTAACAATGTTGAGTAATAGAAGTATCACCTTTAGGGACTGAAACAGGTAAAGGGGAGTCTTCAAAATTTCTTAAATCAATGGCGAGAACCGGAGGAAGCAGAGGACGGCCTATTAGGATCGCCGTCGTGTTCCTCCTCACCCTGAATCCGAGCAGGAATGTGGAACCCAGGAAACCCACCTGAAGTAAAACCAAGGCCTGATAAGGCTTGTGGGGGGACTGCAATAGCTTGATGATGTTGATTGTGATGTTCACTTGAGCTAGCAATTGAAAAAGATGGGTCACTAATCCATGCGCGGATAGAAGGTGTGTTACTGGACTGAAGGGGTCCCCTCTGAGTATAAAATTGGCTGTGCTGGCCACCACCAAACAATGGATGCAGCAATGGTGGGGGCTGATTAAAGATAAATCCGCCCCCGCCACTGCCACTGCCACTACTGGTACCAAGATTGTGTTGCTCGGTACCGGTGTGCTGGGTGTTCCAGCCAAGCATCAGCCTATGGAGCCGTCCCAATTCCGGGTTTGATTGATGTTGGCTATCAGCCCAACCCGTATTCGGGTTTTCAAACCCAATTGGGACAGCTCCTGGGAACAATGTATGCTGCTGCTCATCATGAGCAGCAGCAGCGCTGTGGTGATGTGAATGTGGGTGCATTAGTATAGGATCCTGAAATGACTGCAAAGACAATTTTAAGTCTTGACTCTGCCTACTACTACCACCACCGTCATTACCACCACCACTCCTTTGCATCAAACCACCATGAGAATAATCCTGAAACTGCATCGGAGACGCTGATGCCGAGCTCGTTTGTGGGTGCCCTGCATTGCCCCCACCCATAGGAAAGAAAGACTTGATAGTATCAGCAATGGCATCAGAATCCAATGAAGGTGGTAACAAACTAGAATTCGAACAATTAGCATTGTTGTATAACTGTTGTTGCTCCTCACCACCATACATCCCCTCTGCACTTCCTGCATCCTTCTCCTCGGCCAATTCCACCACCCCATCTCCTGCAGAGCCCTTACCACGCCGCCTATTCGAGCTTAAAACATTCATATTAGTAGGACTCCAAGCAGGCAATTGATCAAGCTCATCAATGGCAGTCTTCGCCTTGTTAATCAACCAATCAACAGCCTTACTAGGACGGTCATACCCAAGCCTGTCCTGAACATCATAGAACTGTATAGCAGTATGAGCTGAAAGCCGAACTCTCCTGTCTCTCGGTCCTTTAGCAGTACAGACCTTGCTATGCCGGTCCTTTCGCCCCGTGGCTCGAACAATGTGACCCCCTTGAACCTCAACTATCTCCCCTATACCAGCTCTTCTCAGTGCTGACCTAGTGGAAACCTGCTGCTGCTGTTGTTGCTGCTGCTGCTGCTCAAAAGAAGAATCTCCCATTGAGGCCTTTTGTCGAACATGTTGTGTGCCAACCGCAACCGAAGGCGAAGAAGACGGAATATAAGATCGTTTCTTAATGGGTTGATGGGGTGGTGAAATGGGTACCGAATTCTGGGGTTCCAGCTGAGAATAAACCTCTCTAACTTGAGATTGCTGCAAGTAGAATTGCTGATTATTAAAGGGTGGTGGATGTTCTTGCTGATGAAATTGGTGATTCGTTGTTGTTCTTGGTGGAAATGGTGGTGTTGGGGTTTGTTCTTCCTCTCTTTCTCTCCTCCTCATCTACATTTCTGAGGTTTTCATGGCGGAATTAATGGTGGTTTTAGCAGAAATGGGGATACTTTCCAACTGCTGTAAAACCCAAAACCCCCTTCCATTCAATTCTACCATTTCCAATAATCTCAAACTATAAACAACAAATTCAAAACATACCCACCAAAAATTACTTCTAACCCATTTCAGAATCTGCAGAAACCCAGGAAGCAGCAGAAGCAAGAAGAAGAAGCAGAGGCTATGAATCAAAGATTCAAAGTAAGTACCTTGAATAAAGGGGAAGAAAGTGAGAAACTTTGGTAGAAATGAAAGGGTTTTTTGTTTTTGGTTTTTGGGTGGAATTTTGTTTCACAGTTCTGGGGGGGAGAGTAAGAAAGAGAGGAAGATGGGGATTGTAATGGAACAGTAAAATAGAAGAGAGAGAGTGTGTGTGTTTGTAGGAGAGAGGGGGGATGTCAAGTTGGTCCGAACTAGCTTTTGATTTGTTCATTATCACCGTCCGTTTTCAGTTTTTAGAATGTACACCCTCCGTATTTTTTTATCGGGATGTTTGGTAGGAGGGATAGGAATAAGGAGGATAAAAGGATGGGATAAGTTTTGAGGATTAATACGTGGGATAAGGATAAAAAGAGGTTGTCCCTTGTTTGGAATAAATTGGAAATTATATTGGAATAAGGGTCCGTTTGGTAGGGTGTAAAACATTTTCAATGTAAAATGGTTTTTCATTTTAAGCATTTTTCATTGTTTAGTTGAACTGAAAATTCAATTGTTGGGGAAAATGTTTTCCTCCACTTGTGATGGAAAATGTTTTCCTTCTAAATTGGGGGGAAAATGTTTTCAATAAGATGGAAAATGATTTTCCACCCCAAGTTTTACATTTTAATGTTTTACACCAAACCAAACAATGTAAAATGGGAAAACACTTTTTAGTGAAAATGTTTTACGCCCTACCAAACGAAGCCTAAGTAAGAAAGTTACTTAGGCCTTGTTTAGTTCACCTTATTTTTACTTATTTCAGAAAAAATAAGTTCAGATCAGATCAGATCAGAAAAAATAAGTTCAGATCAGATCAGATCAGAAAAAATAAGTTTAGATCAGAACATCGTTTTATGTGCGGTTTTTTTCGCTAAATATTCTTAATTTCGTAATGAAAAAAATTGTGAAAATTACATATTAATAAACTACACATTATTACGAATCTAACAAGATCCCACTTGATATATTTTTTCCTTATAGATTATCGTACACTTAAGGTCAAAGTTTGGTCAAATCAGACAATCAAATCAGATCAGATCAGATCAGAAAAAATAAGTTCAGATCAGATCAGATCAGAAAAAATAAGTTCAGATCAGATCAGATCAGCATAAATAAGGTGAACCAAACAGGGCCTTAATTACCATTACTCAAATTTCTCCTCTTTCTCCATTCTTTCTTTCATTAAGGGTAAAATTGTATTTTACCTCCTTTGTTTTGTCCCCAACCCTTATACCACCTCCCCCTAGTTATTATTTTTTCTTGTATTTTTATCCCTATATATCCTCCTCTCCTATGTTATCCCTATCCCCCTAAACAAACAAGAGAATATTTGAATCTCTTTCCTTTTATCCTTATCCTCCTCTTTCTATCCCTCCCTACAAACACCTTCTAAGTGTAACAGTTTGACTTTTGTAATACCGAAGCACTCACATATACTTTTTGACCTGATTATTTACCATTATAAGGTATAAAAAAACAAATGTTATTATGTAATACAAGTACTTTGTATCTCATTAGATTACACAAATTTTCATATGTGGTCGGGGCTACTCAATCAAGATTTACTTAATCAGGGGTTACTCGATCGGTCAGGACTTACTCGGTCAGGGGTTATGTAGTCGAGGCTACTCGATCATGGTTTACTTGGTTAGGGGTTACTCAATCGGTCAGTGTTTTGGTGTGTATCAACTTGTCGCACAGTGTGACTAGCCACACCAAATAAATGTTGATTAGATTAATTAAGAGATATTCATATATTTTAATGATATTAAACTGTATAATATTTACTAATTTATCATTAAAGCAATAAATAATCAAAGTTAAGTCTTGACATTGTGCCGGTAAAGATTTCGCTTTTTGAAAAAAAAAAAAAAAAATAGATGGAGTACACCGTGGTCGTATGAGGAAGCGTTAAATAACCTACTTTCCTCCATTTCAAATTAGATGACATGCTTTTGTTTATCATGTTTGTCAATACAAAAATTCAATCGAATACTCCCTCCATATTTTATTACTTGCTCCACTTTTCTCTTGCGACCATATTTTATTACTTGCTTCATTTCTTTTTTTGGAAACTTTTAACAATATTTTACTATTTTCCTCCCCACTAGTGATCCCTCATATCATATTTTAATATTTTTCATTTTATCTCTCCTTCCCACTTACACTCACTTTCGCTTTTTTAGATTTTTTTTATTCTTCAACTAACTCCATCACTTCTATCATACTACCTCCGTTTTTTTAACTTGACACATTTTGACTTTAGCACTATTCACACACTTCTCTTTGACTGTATTTGTAATAAAAAAAAATGTAGTCAAGTGGGGTCTTGTTAGATTCGTCACGGTATATATTTTCGAAATATCAACTTTTTTATAATTTTTGCTTATCAGTAGTAAAAGATATCAACGGTTGAATTTGTACATTGGCAAACGTGACTAAAGAAACGTGTCAACTAAAAAGAAATTAAACTGAGGAAGTATGTTATTACTTTATACTATTCCTCCTAAAACTTCACGTATGGAGAATTGGAGTAAGTAATAAAATACGGAGGGAGTATATCCTTAATTATATACTATTGTAAAAAAATACCAAAAATTGAATTTTAATTAAGTACACATTAAAAACGAATCTAACAATATTTCATATGACTATTTTTTCAAATTTATAAATCTCAAATGTTAGTCAAAGCAAAGTTTATGAATACTGTCAAAAGTCAAAAGGTGTAATCTAATTTGAAACGAAGGAAGCATTTTACATGGTAACTTATTATATTTAGTTACCATGTAAAATGAAAAAAAAAACAAAAAAAAAACAAAAAAAAAAAAAAAAACCTACTTCCTCTTTCATTTACTACATACTTACGTAGTGAAACTTAAAAAGTTTTGATTTAGTGTATCTTATAGATATAACAGGGAAAAAAAAAACACATTTCTGTGGCAACCTATTATATACTTTACATTTTGCAATGTATAACCAATTTTTATCCCAACTTGTATTTTTTTTACACAAAAAAAGGGTGTAATTTGAGAATATTAACATTTTTGAACATCATCTATGGAAATCACCCACTTTTGTCACTCCTTGCCCCATAAAAACTAAAAATAATACTCGTAATACCAAAATTTTCCGAACAATTCTTTCTCTCCTATCTAAATGTCATGGACCCACATTCCACAAACCATTATATTTCATTTTATATGAACAGTAAGTAAAAAAGATAATTAAAAAAATGAAAAAGAATGAAGGGAGTAATATTAATGCTTAAATACGTACATGGTCATAACGGTCATACCTCTACATTAAGATAAAGATATACATATAGACAGATATTAAAGATATACACATATATAGTAAAAAAGAGAGATTATTGTGTTATAAGTGTTCTAGGGTGGAGACAGAATTTTGTATATATATATATATATATATATCGCATCAACCAACTGTAATAATTAAATAAAAATTTCAACTTTAAATTAAATATATTAATTGTATTAATTAAAAAATGTAATGTAGAATCTAATATGCATTAAAAAGTAATTATTAATTTTTTTTCTAATTATTAAGGTTGTTATTAATAAGTACGTGCATGCACAATAAAAGTATTAAAAGAGAATGCATAGTACGTGTTATTATGGATCATTTTTACCAAAACTAATAAAATTTAATCATATTAATCAACATCCAAGCTATATCAAAAGAAGAAAAAAATTGCCGTTTGACATAAACCCTACAAATAATTACGTTAGATTGGATTGAAAAAAATTGTTTTAAATTGAAAGTATATGTGATGTACTGTGAATAATAACATTAATAATTAATTAATAAAAATCGTTGCTTGGATGCAGAGGCTTAAAATAATATGTGGTACAAAGAGTGACCCTAAATATGATATGTATAAAATATTTGTTACTCATAATCTTCCTTTAAAAAAAAAAAAAAAAAAAAACCTACTTTAATTATATTTTGGGTCACCTATGTTCATTCAAATACTTAAGTTGACTTCAGTCTATATCCATACATTTTAAAAAGCTTAAGAATATTTAGATTATACCCTCTAAAATGTTTATGTAATTCTCTGTCCTCATTAATGATAAATGTCTTTTTTTTAACTATCAAGAATAGTGTGCGGATATTGATACCTCTAAAAATATTTGTTTATATATTGTCTCTCATTATTAATGATGCCAACAACTTAAGTTAAGACAAAAGCCAAAAGCCAAACCAAGAGTGCTTTTCGAATATGGCTAATTGTATATTGCGTGTGTTAGCTGCCCTAGTATAATATAAAATTATTTTTTTTAAGAAGTCACGACGACCTATATCCTCTTCTATTCTTTATCATACACACTCATTTGACCTTTTTGTAATAAATGCGTTTGAATATTGGAAAAATAGTCATGTGTAATCTTATTTGATTCACCCTTTTTTTATTATTATTATTATTTTTACTAATATGTAATTAAATTAAAGGTATTAATGATATAAAACATGCATTGATAATAACCTTGCAATAGTTTTATAAGGGGTAAAATATATTTTAAAATAAAAACTTCCACAAATTCTTGAATACGACTGACTTTCATTTGCTTATTGAAAGACAGGTTGGTGTTATCCTAAAAGTTTTTAAAGTTACGCTTTTTATATAATATTAAAATTACTACTTATATATTTAACATAAATTTTACCCTTTAAAATATTAAATAAATAATGTATTAGTTTGATCTTATTAGCCTTATAACATGCATTCATTTGAAAATACCCATTAAAATATAATCAAAATCATTACAAATTAAAAGTTACCCTTAAATTAAATGGGAAAGTTACCCAAAAAAAATTGTTAAGTCACTATAATATTGACTGTCATTCAATAAAATTAACAAAATCCGCCTTAATTATACAAGACATATTAGAAGGAGGACTCAATTATATGGAGCATTACTCTATCAATTAACCATATAAAAAATACAATCCCATAATATATATAACATTCACAATTCTATCTACGTACAAATTCACAAGGGCTAACTATTAAATTTAGTTTTTCCTTATATTTTTTTAGACAACCATCAACCATTAAACAAAAAACACTAGATTTTAGCAACAACAGAGTACTTTTTGGAATCGTTTCAATGAGTATATTGTTAACTTTCAAATGTCATAATTTACATTTATTTATAATTAAAGATATTATTTGTCAAAATTTTGCCGAGGAGAAATAGAGCACTTATTAAATATGGAGGGAACAATATATATATACCATAATACTTCATCCGTTTTTTTTTATAAGCTAGATTTACTATTTTCGTTCTTTTTTTTTTATAAGCTATATTTACTATTTTCGTCCGTTTTTTAAAATAAGCTAGAGTTCCATTTTTGAAAATCTTCTACAATTTAATAATATATCTTTACCCACTAATGTCCC